GACAGCCAGCTTTGTGTTGGGAGTGAACATTGCACATCTTCTAATTGAGCTCCAGGGTTGGTCCACAGGGGCACTCAGGGCTTGGCTCAAAAGCCCATTCCAGATCCACACTGAGCCAGCAATGCAGGAATTCCCCTTGGAACACAAGGATGGGTCTGTCACGTGCTGGAGCATGGGGACAGGATGATGGCACTTGGTGGAACAGTCCTGACACCCTGTGCTGGCCCAGCTGTGCTGCTCCCAGGGTGGGCACAGCCAGGGATGCTGCCCCACGCTCAGCTTGTCCTGTAAGAACAGTAAATGTGCTGGGTGCTCAACATCATTGGAATCTCACATCATTATTCATTTTAGTAGATTTAAAAGCATACTAGATGCAAGTTAAAGTTTTGAAAAAGTGTTTGCTTTCATCTATTTGTGGAAATTTATTTTGAATTATTGTGCAAATTACTGTCTTAAGTAAAATCGTAGAAACAATAGTTATTCTCTTTGTATGTTAAATAATCAGAGAATGAGAAAAGAAATAACAAAGGATGTCACATTTTATTTTGTTCTGTTTACCTTCCATTTACTGTATTGATTCTTAAAATATTTATGCTTAGCTCATGAAACCGTTCCTTTTGCATCCCTTTAAAAATAAGTAAATTATTTCACTTTTTAAAAAATATTACTTTGATACAATATGTAATTTATAAGCATTAATATGTAATGGGAAAAAAAAAGGAATTCCATAGTGTACTTATAATGTATTCATAGAGCTTAAGTCACAAATGGATCATTAATTCATCTAGTCTAAACAGGCTGATCATTGCATTTCACAGATTTCTCCCTCTGTTTATCCACGCAATTTAAGTTTCTTTAAGGTTATCTACAGATTTTATTTCAGTTTGCCCATACCAAGCAGCAACACATCCACTAATTCTCCTAACATTTTTTATTTTTCCTCTTAAAGAAACACTGAGAAAATAATTTCTGAGTTATGGAAAACAATTTCATTTCCTCAGCCAGGTCTGCACTAAATATGCCTAACTGTGACCTCTGGAAGTAAAAAATTTACTTTGTAGCTTGCAGAAATAGTTATGCAGGCAGTAATTATTCCTTGCAATTTCCCTTCTCTTTGTTCTATTAAATCACAATTTCTGTTTTCATACTACCCAAGGCCCTCCTGGAAGGAGCATCTGCATACCCAGACCTCCCTGCTAGGTCCTGGTGTTCTCTTGCAGCCTCTCCTTGGCCACTTCACTCTGCTCTGTTGGACACAAACTGTGTCCAACTCTTCTTCCTCTGCAGTTCATGAGTTCTCCAATTGTTTATTGTCTCCAAAATCATGCTAGGACAATAACTTCCAATCAACCTATAATCTGGTCAGCTAGTAATGGATTATTCATTTTCAAGCATGCTTTTTTAGTGTTTCCTCCTGTTTTTTTCCACGTGGTTTGAAAGGGAAAGTGCAAAGCTGTATCCTTATCTTCTGGAACTTTATTTTTCTGTTCTGGAGAGCACAAAATCTTGATAATGCTTGAGCTGCTGTGGTTTCAGGAGTGTCTTAGTATGGCAATTGTCTTATTGGGAAGATGTATGTTGGTAAGTGCAGAAATTAATTCACTTTGTACTCTGGGTTAGCATTTCATAACCCATGTGCTTTGCAAAGGCGTTTATCCACATATTGGTTTATTTGGATGTCACTCAGAGTATTAACTGGAGAGTCAGAGATGGTGGACATAATCTGTGATCATGTGGATTAACTGGAGGCAAGTTTCCACTTGATCTTTTCCAAAAGTGAAATGATTAATTTGTAAAGTCGCTGTCAGCAAAAGATTTTGTCCAGATTTTGAACACTTTTTGTGGTTTTTTCTCTGTATTCTCTCCATGTTTTCCAATCTCCTTTCAGAAAATGCCAATGGCAGAGCTTTAGGAACAAGTCTGATACTATCTGTTTTGGCAGTACCTTGTAGAGTGTTAAATTTATCTCTCAAGTGCTGCTTACTATTGTGCACCTGAGTATTTAAGGTTGTTTTAACTCTCCTGGTTTCATCATCCCAACAGTAATTCATAATCAATTGTCATTCACATTGGTCTCTAAACTGTTTTGGGAATTGCTTCATTTCAGGGGGAAAATAAATCCTTTGCAATGTAAATGAGGCTTGACTTCCTTCTTCTCATAAATACAACTTGGCAGTGATTGTGTGTTAAAAAAAAAAAAGATCTACAAATTGACCACTGTACAATGTCTTTATCCTCTGTGCCATTAACCATTACTAACCACTTTTGTCTTTGTCCCATGCATGGACCTCTCAGCTATTGTATATTTGTCCCATCAAAACTGAGTGCATCTGAAACTATGGGAGCTTTGCAATCCATCTACGAGTTCCCTTTTCTGATGTTGGTCCCCTTCTGACCATTTCTTTTTTATCTGCCTGCTGGCCAATTTTTAATTCATTTAATTTGCACTGCACTTACTTATTTTATACCTCTGTCACAAGGAGGAGATAAGAAGTATAATGGGAGACTGGAGAGCATCCACCTACACCCATGCTGCTGGTTTTTTACATTTTTTGCCTGTGATGTTAATGTCTTTATCATGGCTTCCTTCAACTCCCTAGTATTTCAAAGCCAAAGAGAGCTTATTTCTCCTACCAGTTCATTCCCCTGGCCAAGCTGACTGCTTTCCTTTATACCTTTTAAGTTCAGCTTAGATTTTTATAGACAAGGTGATGTTTGCTTCAAGGTACAGGTACAATATAGATTTATGCACTGACATCCCAATGCTTTCTGGTTTGTTCTTTATTCCTCTTCTAATCTCTTTCAACATATTATTTTCTGTTTTGACTGCTACTAAACATTCAGTTGATATGTTCAAAGAACTATCTGCAATGACTTCAAGATCATTTTCTTGAGTGGTAATTGCTAATTTAGAACATATCATTGTGTATTTGTAGCTAGTTGTGGTGGGTTTTTTTTTTGCTTGTGCACACTGCCTTCAGTTAATTGTCGCTGAATTTCATTCTCTTATTTTATTGCCAAGTCACTCTGTATTGTGAGATCCTTTGCAGTCAACTTTAATTTTTATTGCCCTACATAAACCAAGGATGTTATCTCACCACAGCCTGGAACTAGGTTAATTTCACAAAGTCTATTTTCTATATCTTCTATTCTTTAGCATGAATTTTGATTTTTTTTTCCCCTTCTAATTATATTTAACCTCCCCTACCAAAAAAAAAAAAAAAAATTATACAAAAGTCACTTTATCAAATGCTGTAACTTCCAATGGTTTATAGTGTTTTATGGTTGTGTCTTTGAGACACTCATTTCTGGTTTTAGCTTTGCAAGTAATTGATGTTTTAACTGATGACAAGAAAATTCCGTGTGTGACCCACTCCACTGACGTACAGAGCACAAAATCAATTTGTCTGAAGTCTTTCAGCCAGAACTCTGAATATTTTCTATTCTACTAACTTAAGAGAACTGTTCAAGAAATTAATAAATGTAAAGGACAGAATTTTCTAAGGGTAGAGATTCTCTTCCTGGTCATAATAAAGCAGTCACAGAGTGCAAGGCTCTCTTAGTTTCTTGTGTCCAGCTCCCCTGCATGTATTAACCTTTTCTAAATTCCAGGAGCACTGAGTTAATAATTGCAAACAGAGTTGCTGTTGTTTCACTAATTTAGTGGGTTTTGGAGGGACTGTAGAGGAGGAAAAGAGTGAAATGGCTTTCCCTTACTTCATGCCCAGCATCCCAGTCTATAGCAGCACATCAGTACCCGATGTTGTCCTAAAGCATCTGTTGCAGGTGCCAGCTGGAAACTGCAGGGTAGAGGAGGGGAAACATTTCTGGAAAATACTATTTATAAGTACTTCTTGACTTAAAAACCTTAAAAGATGTTGCTGCAAAACTGAATTTATTCTAGTGGTCAGTGGGTTGGGTTTTTTTCATCTGCTCTTCCCTAGACACGAAAAATAAGTTTACAGTCACTTGGGAGACATTGGTGTTATTTTGCACTTCTGCACAGTACTCGTCTGAACTATACTGCTTACAGAAATCTTGGTATTTTTTGTATTAAAGAATATATTTTGAAGCTTTTTGGCAGAAAAGAAAATGTGAATGCCTTATATAATTCAGTAGTTAGTGTTGTATTAATTGAAAGCACCACGTACAGCAGAAGCACCAATATATGTGAAAGTGCTTCACACAATTGGTAAATACACATAATTATGTAAAAAAACTGTCTGAAAATTTGAAAGATTTTCTGAGTGATTACAAGTGCCAGCTTTAGAAGCCTTTTCAGTATCCAGAAATACACTAAAAGAGTTTGAGAGTTCAGTGATCTTTCTACCAAAATACTTTATAGATTAAATGTTACAATACAATGATATTGAAGCAAGAGAGAAGGTATAAGGTCTGATTATGCACTGCAGGTGTTTAATTTTCTTTTTTTTTTCTTCTTCTGTTGTGTCTTTGGAACTGTAACATGGTGATGTCCTTGGAGATGTTTTCCCTGGGCAATTAACCATAGAAATACTCAATCAGATAACACAGGCCTATTGTCATGTGCAAACCCAGTTCCTCAAACTAATTATAATCCCTGTGTAGTTACCCTTCCCACATCCCAGGAAATTACTCAGAATTTACAAAGTGAAAGAAATATTAATTAGTGTAATTTCTTTTTTCTTTTTGCTATACTTCACCCTCTTTTTCCATCTACTAAACGTGGAACATGCAGTGCATATTTGTGGAGCCTGTTGTGAGTATGTGGATGGTTGTACTGGAGCTTATCCCATGCTAATGGAAACAGTGATAGCATTTCCAGGAGAAAAACAGAGCATGTGATGTTAATTTGCTTTTGATTTTCAATGTCGATGGTTGACTCTTTGTAATTCTGATAGTTTTCCCCAGTTTTTGGGATTTATTTTTCCATGCTAAAATGCCTTTTTGTCACCTTTGATACCCTAAAAACATAAGCTTTTCACAAGTTACAATTATTATTTTTTCTTTTGTAATTGCAGTTGTTTCTTATCCTTACTGCTGGTAGCTGCTGTCGTTTGGAAAATCAAACAAACCTGTTGGGCTTCTCGACGGAGAGAGGTATCAGTAACTTTAACATTATTGTAGTAGCTTTATCTTTCAGAATAAGTTGAGAAATTTGATGAGCAATCACTCCTCTTTCTCTTGTATATGTAATTTAAATACCTATTTTATACTCCTCACTTTTTTTATACTGAAGAAGGAAACTATTTCTTTCTCCTGTCAAAAATTAAAGGAATTACAGCACTAAACTGTAGAAAGGGGAAATTTTCCTTATGGTGGCATATTTAGAATATTTAGAATAGAATTGAATAGAGTATTTCAGGTGAAAGAATCCTACAAAGAATTATTCATCCTGACCACTTCAGGGCTGGGAAAAGGTTAAACCATATTATTAAGAGTATTGTCCAAATAAATAATAATTTCTTAGACACTGATGAGCTTGGAGCACTGACTCCTTGCTAGGAAGTCTGTTCCAGTGTTACCACCTTCTCTGTAAATAAATGTTTCCTAATATCCAACCTGAACATCCCCTCAAAGGACCAAAATTCTCTCTCTGTTAGAATCAGTAGATTCATCATTAAACCTGTGGCACAATTAAAATCTTCAGTAAATATTCATACGTAAAATCACCTTATTCTTTTGTGGTCTAAATTCTTGCAGCTATGTTGAAAAACCTGGCTCAAATCTTTGTTCTTACCTGCTTAACAATTCATTACGCTTAAATGAGTTAAACTTTATCTATGCTACTACATGTATAAGATTATATACTAATAGTTGTGGTATTTCATTTTGCTCTCATAAATGTGATCTAAAATTTGTAAACAGTGATGTTTTCCCTTCTTGAAGCTTCTAATCTTGATGATTTTTGGAAAGGGCACTTGCTTAATGTGCTATAATCTTGAGATTTTTTTTTAAAGACAAGCTTTGGTCTACTTAATTATTTTTTTCTTAATATACTGGCACTATGAATGTTTAAATAACTTTTTTACTGTAGATCTACAGTGAATTTATATATGCTTTAAAAGTGCCAGGTAACTAGCACTTATAATTTTCCTTTACTGAAATTATAATGTACTAATGCCAAGGTTTAGCTTCAAGTGGTGCTACAAAGGAAAATGTATGTTATTGGTACTTATTTCCTTTTGGTACTTTTTTTTGTTCATATGAACATTGTTAAGAATTTTCTGAGGGCAAATTCTCATCTATTTCTTATTACTTGAAAAATATAGATGAAAGTTACTTTAAACCACATTATTCAACTTAATATTGTTTCATTTAAGTTTGTCTCAATACTTGGATAGTTCTATGCAAAACTGTGTTGTGATGGAATGTAGTTGTTCATTGATTTAATTTCTCATGTTAATGAGGTTGGTTTATTGATGTTTTTTAGAACAAATATGAATGTACCCATTTCAAGGTTTAGAGGGTCTGGTCTGTACTGCTCTCCTAGCTTTTTGAAATATAATATTTTTATGGGGTCTTTAGTCATCATTTGATAAAGAAAACATTCTCATACAAAAAGTTTCTGAAGTTTTCCAAGATTTATTTTCCTAATGTCATCAAAAGTACTTCTAAGAGCGTGTGAAAGCTAAAATAAACTGTTTGATAAATATAACATAAACATCAATCGGATTCTTCAGAAGAGCAAAAGAGAAACACACTTGGCAACTGGATTAGAACTCAGAGCTTCATGGTTGGTTCTGAATCTTGACTTTCCTTGAGTATAACTAGAGAAGCTTGGTTTTGTATCCTAAATAGAGTTTGATATCATTATGAATTGTAAATGCTGAAAAAATCTCCTTTACTTTCAATTTCCTCTTGACCACCTGCTGCAGTTAATGTCAAATAAAGGTTTTTGATAACATTCCATGCAATATTTTCCTTTAATCTAGCCAGAAAACTTCCTTTTATATGTAACATATTTTATAAGATTTTGCAATTAAGTGTTACAAATGAATTGTATGAATAACACACAGTGACAATCTACTGTTGAAAAGATTTCTGAAGTATCTACTTTAGAGCCCATTTGGCAGATGAGTTTTTCATCTCTTCCATCATTCTTTAAAGATTGGAATGTTTGACTCTTTAGATGTTACCTTCAATATGGACCCAAACTATAGTAATAGAAATAAAACAAGAACACCAGCAAGTACAGAAAAGCGTGCTGTTAAAAGCTGTGAATCCTTTTATTATTCCTCTTTCCCCTGAAGGAGGAGGAACATTATTATCCAGTTCTTGTCATCTTTTAGAATTTTATCAGGCTCTTGAAGAAAGCCGGTAATGTTTGTAAGATTTGTAGATCCCTGTGTGTAGCTGAAAATTCAGAACCTTGTCCTGTTTTCCTTCTGACTTTAATGCTTGGCTAAATTGGAATGTTATTGATTCCAAACTGAACACAGCATGGCCTCAATCCAGTACAAAGCAGGAGCAAGTTGTTTGCATTGTGAAGAGGGAAATGTCTCAGTTTTCCTACTAATTTAGAAACTGTCCCTCGGTTTCTTTCCTAATTCATTGCTCATCCATCAAATACTTGCTTTCCACTGCTCAGAGCACTGCCCAAACCAGGCTGAGAAGTTTGAATTTAGGCTCTATCATATTTACTTGTAAGAAACTGTTACATTGTGTATCTATAAAAATGGATAAATGTATTCCAAAATGCTTTAACTGATGTTTATCTACACTGTATTTGACTTCCTTTGCCCATATCTATAGAGCTTTCAATTTATTTAGTTGAAATAATTTTTCCCTAAGTTAAGACCTTGAGCTTTGGTAATTTTTTGTGCTCATAACAAAATTTTGGTTCGTATTTTTTTTCTTACCTTCGTTGCTATCTCTTAAGACATATTTTGTCTCAGGTTTTTTAACTCTATACTTTAACTCCTGGATGAGCTTCTCTTCTTCTCTCCTGCCTTCTGAAAGGGCAAGGGACAGCAGATAGACTGTCTTACCTTATACCATCAAAGTTATTCACCTTCTGCATTGAGGGAAAATGGAAAGTATCATTCTTTTATTTTATAGTTCCAAGAAGATCAATGAAACTTTGAGCAGGAGAACATGAACAGCCTCCTGCCTGGCATCTCTTGACACCTTCCCCCACCCATCCCCCCCATGGATTTGTGACATTTTAAAAAAGGTTTTTAAGAAGGGCTGAAGTAAGATAATGCAGTATTGTTCATCTCAGGGAGTTTGTTCCTTGAAAAGAATAATACAGAATATGATGAGATAATTTCCAAAGCATAATTCTTATAACAGCATCTTGATAAAAAAGACTTAAATTCTTGATTAAAAAAAAACCCCAAAGTTCCAAGAAAGCAGAAACAAAACAGAAAGAATTTGGAACATTCATGACAGAGCAAGATAACATTTACAGGTAAGTATGGAAATCTATGCAGGAGTAGAAAAATGGAAAGATATAATTGTTTATCAAATAAAGGAGTTCCTAAATATTGCAAGATTTAGGAAAAGCAAAACATTTTTTAGAAGACAGTATGTCTTCACAGTGTAGACAGTATGTCTACACTATGTTAAAAGATCAGATATGTATTCTAGGTTTTAAACTCTCATCATTCTTTTAACTCAAAGACTCACAAATCTTTGTACTAGAACCTTTCTCAGTAAAATTTTACATTTTAGTTCACTGGATGAAAAACCAAAAGCTGTCATTTTTTCCCCAAATGATTTGTTAGGCCTCTTGCATTTTATACCCTGAATTCACACGAGAGCCTGTCCATGAAACTCCAATCTGACTGTTTTCCTGCTTTGTACAGGAAAAGATATATCACCCAGATTTGCCAAATAAGAAATATTAAGAGAATATTATTTGTTATCTCTGCATGTTTCATATCTAAAGTATTCATTCAGTCTTCTGCTCAGAATAGGTACAAGACAATCTGTTCATAGATCATTTTACTGAAAACTTGATAAATTATTTGCCAGATTTGTAGCGGCTCAAAGGTTTTGTCTCATGAACTTCTGGTTGAAAGGCATCACACTGCACATAGAATCTGCATCCAAATGATTTCTCTTTAATAGTGCATTTAACTCTTTGTTTTGCTCATAAAATTACACTGAGGTCACTAACAAACTCATACAGATGGGATTATAAACCACACAGCTTCTAGTTGAGTTATTTTAGCAAAGTATTTACCCTTCCTAAGGTAAGCTCAGATGCCTTTTGTACTCTTGGTCCCATCAGATGTTTTAAAGAATTGTTATCTTTAATCCAAAAGCCTGTAACCACTGATGCACATAAAATACCTTCTTTCCTCCACTCAGACACACAAAATCCATGTGCCAATGTGTCATGTGTTGTTATCTAGAATCATAGAAACATAAAATTGTTTGAGTTGGGAAGGACTTTAAAGCTCATCCAGTCCCACCCTCCTGCAATGAGCCACTTCAACCAGAACAGGCTGCTCAGAGCCTCATCCAGCTTGGACTTGGATGTTCCCAGGCATGGAGGTTTCACCACCCTGATCATAAAAATATTTTTCCCTCTATCTAGTCTGAAATACACATTTGTGTATATTGGATGAGTCAATTAGTTAAAATAGATTTGTAATTTTTTTAAGGTAAATTGCTTTTTAAATACATTATTTTAATTACACATTAGAAAGAGAGTGCATCTTTAAAGATGACTTAAATTCTTATTTCCTCATATAATACACTCTAAAGCTCTTGAGCAATGAGGAAGTAATGCATGATTGCATTTTTAGGTAAAAATGCTTGAAAGCATGGATTGTGTGTGTAAAGTGCTCGCCTAACTTTAAAGGTTAATATCATTTTTATATAGCATCTCATTCTAGAGTCAGCTGTGCACCATTTGCCTCTCTGAAAGAATAGTATATACAAACATAAAAACATGGAATTGTAGAAAATGCTTGCTTTTACTGTGTGTGGGTGCCACTCAAGTTATTGCTTCTTTTTATTAAATATGCTTATGTTTGTTTAAAAAACTCTCCACCTTTCTGCCTTGATTTTGTTACCAAGGTAGTTTTATTCTCTTAAATATTCAAAAATTCTTCCAAATAGACAAATGAAACTGAAGTAGTCTACTT